GATGAGTAACTGCTATTAAAATTTTAAAAAAATTAATTTCCAGGGGCTGAGTAATATTTTTTCTGGAAAGGGGGCGGTAGGCCAAATAAGTTTGGGAACCACTGGGATAGAATAAACTTGCTTAATTAGACCTGCTTTCTGATTTAGCTAAACTTTTTCCAGCCCAGTGAAGCACCCCAACTTCTCTTTCAGGTAATTGTCAGGAACACAGCAGTAAATATTAACACAAAGCAGATTATTATTGTAGATCATGCAGGGAGAACAAAGGGTAAAATATTGAACTGCAGCAGTGTTTGACTATATTCTGTGCAATTAGAAAACCTGAAGTCATTTTTAAGGTCCAACATTTCTTACTTCTTTTCAGTCGGGTCAAGTTTCTAAACTTTCTAAATCTTCGTTTTTCGGCTAATGAAAATAAAATAAAATTCCTATTTACCTACACCAGGACTTCTGTGAGGATCAAATGAGATGAGGCATGGGAAAATGCTTCACAGACATTTGGTTAAAGCAGTGGTTCTCAACCTTCCTAATACTGTGACTCTTTAATACAGTTTCTCATGTTGTGGTGACCCCCGATATCATTGTTACAAATTGAACATAATTAAAGCACAGTGATTAATCACAAAAACAATATGTTATTATATATGTGTTTTCCGATGGTCTTAGGCGACCCCTGTGAAAGGGTTGTTCGACCCCCCAAGGGGTCTTGACCCACAGGTTGAGAACCACTGGGTTAAAGTATAAAATGTTTGCACCTCCCTATAAAGCAAGTCGTATTCCTGAGCTGAAGAAACTCCAAGGAGGCTAGTTGCTAGGTAGAGGAAGCCAGGTGTTGCTACGTGATGTTACTACGCAGCACTCACAGCCACTGTTTCCGGGCTGGGCTGGGCTGGGGGCTGCATTTCATGCCATGGGGTCTTGGCAGTGTTGACTGCGATTTGGTGGGTTGCAGGGGCCTGTGTCCCACATGGGGGAAGCTGAATGTGGCTTTGTCGGCATCAGGTCTGCAGTGCCGTTTCTTTGTAAATGGTCAGTATGCGTCATAGCAGCTCCTGCATTGAGCGTCTGCCCCCTGCACATCATAGCAACCAGTCGGACAGTCAGAGGAACACTTAGCATAATAGCCTTTTATATATATAGATATTTTTAAGACAGTGCCTGATGCATAGTGCTAAATATGTGATACAAATTCTTTCAGATAATTTGTTAAAAGCTTGTTTTTGGATTTAACTTGTTTTGAGTATACACATAAAGTCCTAACCAAACTATAATATCTCCTTTATAAATTGTTTTGTGTTTTGCATAGAGCTATGCATCTGAAAAGATGTGATGAGAAATGCAACTCTCTGGGAAAGGAATTTGCTTAAGACCACATTGTATAAAAGCTGTTATATTTCTGGTCAGCTTACTCTAGGTACCAGATCTTAACTAAAATTACTAATTGATTCTATCTATACCTAATTAATTTTATCTATACCTAAGGATTCTTAAAATTGGATCTGATAAAAGCAATTTTAAAAGTAATTGAGCCCTAGCTGTTTTAGCTCAGTGGACAGAGCATCAGCCTGTGGACTGACGGGTCCAGGTTCGATTCCAGTCAAGGGCACATGCCCAGGTTGCAGGCTTGATCCCCAGTGTGGGGATCAATATATATATATATATATTTATTTATTTAAAGTAATTGATACTGGTCTAGCTGGTGCGGCTCAGAGGTTGAGCGTTAACCTATGAATGAGGAGGTCATGGTTCCATTCTCGGTAAGGGCACATGCCTTGGTTTTGGGCTCAATCCCCAGCGTCAGGCGTGCAGGAGGCCACTGATCAATGATTCTCTCTCATCATTGATGTTTCTATCTCTCTTCCTTCCTCTCTGAAATCAATAAAAAATGTATTTTATTTTATTTTATTATTATTATTTTTTAAATATATATTTTATTGATTTTTTACAGAGAGGAAGGGAGAGAGATAGAGAGTTAGAAACATTGATGAGAGAGAAACATCGATCAGCTGCCTCCTGCACATCTCCCACTGGGGATGTGCCCGCAACCCAGGTACATGCCCTTGACCGGAATCGAACCTGGGACCTTTCAGTCCGCAGGCCGACGCTCTATCCACTGAGCCAAACCGGTTTCGGCAAAAAATGTATTTTAAAAAAGTAATTGATAGTGGCTAAACCCATTCTGTGGACTTAGGGTTGTCTCTGACTGTAATTGTTTGCATTACTTTAGTAACAGTGCTTATGGAACTGCTTTCCAAAAAGATTTTAATGTTTTTTCCATATTTTCTGCAAATAGTCTGTGAAATTGCTTATTATGGGAAATGGCTTCTTTCTGTTTGGTGCTGTATCTATATTTTCTCTGTGTCTCCTGCTCAGCTGCCTTGGTATTCTGTCTTTGACAATGATGAAAGGAGAGCTTAAGATTCTTTTGACAGGATAAGTTATTTCCACATTGATTCCAACCTGAAAATAGACGAAACATTGTGTAGGAATACCCTTATTCTATGTGGGACATTTTAACCCATTCATCCATTTCTGAAGCTGAATGGCTCAGTTATGTGATTCCAAGGCCCTTCCTGTCACCTATCACTCTTCCATATATGATTTGAGTCTAAATGACTTATTTTATCTGTAGTATCTTATTTGCAAAACTTCAAGTACTTCAAGACCTCTAGATATGGTAGTCAAGGTTTTACTATTCATACATCTTAATGCCTACATATCTCATGATCACTGTTGTGTTCTACATATATGCACACTTACCGATATAAAACAGAAATTACCATTTATTCTATCTAATAATAGACAAACATGGTAATTGACCGTACCTTCGCTAAGCCTCCCATTGGCTAATCAGTGTGATATGCAAATTAACCACCAACAAAAGATGGCGGTTAATTTGCATACGTAGGCTCCAAGCGGCGGAGGGAAGACTGAAGGCAAGCCGGAGCAGTGAAGACGGAAGACTGAAGGCGGCTCCGGCCGGAGCGAAGGCCTGGGTCCCGGGTGCCGGAGGAAAACCTGTGCTGGCAGCCAGGAGAAGGGAAGGCCTATTGCACGAATCTCTTCGTGCAACAGGCCTCTAGTTATTTATAAATGTCCTACTATACGTGGCTTTAACTGATTTTTGTGATAATCTGAAAATCATAATTGGCAGTTTCAGAATAGGCATCTAGTCAAAAAAGCAAATGAATGAATAAATGATTGCAGAGGGAAAGCATACCTTATATCCAGCACTGATTGAAAAATGCTTTCAATATTAGAAAGCACCAAGTTTATTATGGGTCCACAGTCCCTTTCCCTGAAATCCGTGGGGCCAGTGCCCGGAAACAGGGGGAACCAAACGAACCCCTGTGCTGCGGAGGGAGGTACACTGCAATCTAAGGGAACCCGGTGTCCCAGACCAAAGGCCGCCTAGCAATCCCCCTCCCCCACCTTCTGCAATCCTTAGGGGGCTCTGTCCTGCCTAGTTGGGAATCCCACCCCCAAAGGAGGTGCCCTCTGGCACCTTTGGAAGCTCAGGTGGGTGAGAGGCAGATGGAGGGCTCAGTGAGAGATCTGGTTCCAGGGAAGGGCAGAGCACAAGCTGGAGCTCAGTGTGGTGGCCAGGGCTGAGGGGCTTGGAGGCCAGGTGTGGGCTCTTAAGATTCCTGGAGGCCACCTTCAGCATCTAGGGCAGGGGTGGGCAAACTTTTTGACTCGAGGGCCACAATGGGTTCTTAAACTGGACCGGAGGGCCGAAACAAAAGTGTGGATGGAGTGTTTGTGCGAACTAATATAAATTCAAAGTAAACATCATTACATAAAAGGGTACCGTCTTTTATTTCAAACGGGCGGGATCCGGCCTGCGGGCCGTAGTTTGCCCACGGCTGATCTAGGGCCATACCACTTGGAAGCTAAGCAGGGCTGGGCCTGGTTAGTACTTGGACGGGACAATACTGGGTCCTGTGGGCTTTTTTTGCCTCCCAGAGGCCCGCTCACCTGCCCCAGGCACTAAGCCTACACGCTAGCCCAGATTGATTTAAAAAAAATTTTTTTTTAATGGTTTTTTTACAAAGAGGGAGAGGGATAGAGTTGAAACATCATCAGCTGCCTACTGTACACCTCCTACTGGGGATGTGCCCACAACCAAGGTACATGCTTTTGACCAGAATCGAACCTGGGACCCTTCAGTCCGCAGGCCAATGCTCTATCCACCGAGCCAAACTGGTTAGGCCCAGATTGATTTTTTAGCCAGAATTTTCTCAGCTCCTTTAAGATCCTTTTTGGTCTGGTCATTTGGGTCTCCATTTCCTCAAATGTTTGTTGGTGGTGATCTGTCTGTTCATATTGAATATTTTCCTCATTGCAATCTAGATTCTTTGCTGGCAAGTGGTTAACACTTTCATCACCTGTGTAGTTTTCAAAGTGGAAATATTTTTATTGCTTTTAGTAATTTAAGAAAACTAGTAAGTGGGTATTCTTTTTAAGAGTGTTCAAACACTATAGAAATATACAAATGCAGAAAATTAAAGGCTCTATAATCCCATTCCCATATAAATATCTGCAGAAGGTATGGGCAGATTTAGTCATAAATAAAAATATCTATAACATAAAAAATGAGACAATTAACTCTGAAAAAATATAATAGCACACTTGTTAGCTCAGAAGTGAACAGTATTTACATGGTCATTAAATAAAAATGGACTTAACCAACAATTTTAACATAACCATACTGAGAAACGGAGGAAGGCAGTGGGGAGTATAGAAGATGGAAAAATCCTCTATCCCTTTATGAATTAAGTAGAAAAATATATGCATCTTTTTTAGGAAAATATAAGTACATATGAAAAGAAACACCTTAAATTAGCTGCTTTAGGGGAATGGAACTTGGGTGCCAAAGGCAAGGTAAATTAATGCTGTTTGGTTATAAGCATTTTAGAGCTACTTTATATTTTAGGGGAAATTATAATGTAATCCAGATTGGGATCAAGCTATAAGAAATAAGGTGACAAACACCCATATTAAAAACAAAATTCTCTTGAAAATTTTTTAAATATTTAATAACAATACATCATTCAACTTTTTCCAGTCTTTATGAAGGTTTTTTCCTTGCTGGTGAAATTTATTTTAAAAGTCCTCATGTAAACTAATCAAGACTAATACATTTTTAAATAAACCCTCAAACAAATCTTTTTAATATATACCTTATTTCTTGGGATGACAATAGATTATATATTTTCTTTTTAATTCAAATATAGTTTTCAAGATTAATGGTTATTAACAAATCTTTATTATTAATACTCTCCTAAGGCAGGATAGAAGCATGATACTTTAAAATTTCTTTTCAATAACTACTTTATAGTAATTTTAAAAATATTTATTGATTTTAGAGAGAGAGAAAGGGAGAGAGATAGAAATATCAATGATGAGAGAGAATCATTGATTGGCTGCCTCTTGCAAGCCTCACACTGGGGATTGAGCCTGTATCCTGGGCATGTGCCCTGACCTGCAATCGTACCATGACATCCTTGGTTCCTAGGTTGATGCTCAACCACTGAGCCATGCTGGCCAGGCTGATGTTCCACTTTTTTATGCATATATTGATTGATTCTTATATGTGCCCTGATTGGGGACTGAACCCACAACTTTGGTGAACTGCGATGATGCCCTAACCAACTCAACTATCTGGCTAGGGTGAACTATTTTATAGTAAAAAAATTACTTGACATTAAGTATTTTTATGATTGAATTCTAAAAACAATCTTTAGTCCCAACTGAACTTGGTACTCTAAGATTAAATTTTTTAACTATTTACATAATAAATATAATTTTAATCACTAAGTTCTTCTTCATCACTGAAATATGTGCTTTTCTTTATCCTTGGGCGTCTTGAATCATCAGAGGTTGAGGGACCCCCTGAACTGGGTTTCCACTTTTTTTGTTCTTCTTCAATTTTGGCTTGCTGTAAGAAAACAAACAAAACCAGGAACCTGTTTATTATGGTACGTTAATTCAAAACAATGCAAAACCACATCACACGTGCCAACACTCCCCATGCTCCCAGTCTGTGCAAACAATTCTACTCCATCAGAATGCTCCTCCCTCACTCCCGATATATCTGTTTCACCATTTACTCAAAATTATTTTAGGCAATTTCTACTAATTAACAGGCACAGTAAATGAAGCCTACTTTCCATTCCTGCTGAAGGTTGGGAATTATAAAATATGAAATTAGTTAACTAAAAGGAAAAATAAATTGACGCATACATTTACCATTTGTCAACTACATTAAAACAAAATATCTGGTTATATAAAAATTAGGAGATTATGTATCCTTTTTTAAAAAAATATTTCATATATTTGTATTAGGGTCTTTAGTTGTCAAAAATATGTTTTTGGTTTTGTTTTGAAGCGAAGCTTCTTTCAAAGATATCTTTTCAATACCTTTAATAAAATCTTTTCTGTTGGGCTAAACTCACTTTAATCAAATAGTTCTGCTTAATTCTATAATGAAAACAAATTATGATATTAAAAGTGTTATAGGGTCCTTAAAATCTGGGAGCCAATAGGAACTTTTCTATCATACTGTTTCTAAAGACCTTAGAAAAGTAGTCAGTCTCCTGAAGTTTAGGAGGAGAAGGGGAAAGACAGGTTGCCACAATGAGGAGATGATTAATAAAGTAAGTAAGGAATATAAAACTGTTAACCCAAGGCTGCTATGGCATGGTGCCTTTTAAAAAATCTACTTAGTACCTGGAAAGCTATGGCCTGACTGAGGCTGTCAAGAGAAGGATCTTCTCCTTCATCTTCACTTTCTTCTACTTCTTCACTAAATTAAAAAAAAAAAAAATCAGAATGCATTTAACCAATAGTAAAAAGACAGAAACAACACTATAATGTATTTAGTAAGAGTGGATATACATACATTTCTTCTTCTGGTTCAGGAATTTTCTTTTTTTTCTTTTTCTCTTTCTTCTTTGGAGGTTCACGTTCTCCAAGCATATTTTTAGGACAGGCATAACTTAAGTGTCCACTTTCCTTTTGTTTCCCATTAAAAAGGAAAGGAAAATATTATATTTGTTGTGTTATTAATAGAAACTTGCCTGGTACCTGAAGACTAAAAGGTGTTAGAACTTAAAAAAATAAAGAGACTGTCACACTGGGAACATATATGAAAAAATTAATAAAACCCATTAATATTTAGAAGGTAATTTTAACTCCTAATAAACTATTTTGACAATAAGAAAGTATTTTAGAAGTCCACAAAGAGCTAAGAGTAAAAGAAGTATTCTTCCTGCAAACATTTTAAATACATGCTAAAAAACAATTCAAAATTTAAATGAACTATCTACCTTGAATATAAACATTTTAAGTTATTCTATCTAATAAAGAGGAATATGCTAATTGACCCTCACACCATCACAAAGATGGCAGTGCCCTCAGCCAATAAGGAGGGAATATGCTAATTGACTGCCACACCCTCAAAAATGGCAGCGCCCAGTTCCCTCAGCCCTGCCTTCAGAGTCCCCAGTCCCTTCAGCCCCCAAGCCACTCAGGGCCAGCCCAAGGCGCAGGCAAGCCTCGGATGTCAGCTCCCCAGCCTCCCAGGGCTGCCCGAGGCTCAGGTAACCAGGGCCGGCCGAGGCTTGCGCAGCTGGCAGTGGCAGCAGCAGAGGTGTGATGGGGGCGTCACTTTCCCCTGATATCCGGGTCGCCTCCCGCCCCTGAGGGTTCCCGGACTGTGAGAGGGGGCAGGCCGGGCTGACGAACCATCCCCCCCGCCCCGTCCAGTGCATGAATTTTCATGCACCGGGCCTCTAGTTATTTGATAAAATTGGGACAAAACTATTCCTAACTCCCAAGATGTTGCTTAACATTCTGTGTCCAAAAAAAATTTAGTTTCCTCATTTTTCCAAATTAATTTCATTTTGCTTCTTTCATATCTAGACTATCCCTACACTATCCAATTATGGTAACCACTAGCCATAATTCTTTTGTGGTTAGCGAGAACCTGTTTAAATTGATATGCATTATAAGGGTAAAATATATACAAGATTTTGAAGACAATATGAGAAAAGAAAGTAAAATATCTTAATTTTAAAACATTAATTACCATAGTTTAAATGATTATATTTTACATTTTAGATACATATTGGGTTAAGTAAAAGATTTAAATTTTATTTGTTTCTTTTTCAATGTGGCTACTAGAAAATTTAAAATTACATTTGTGGCTTGCATTGTATTCATATTTGACAGTGCTAGACTAACCATCTATCCTATCTAATAGAGAGGGAATATGCTAATTGACCCTCAGGCCATCACAAAGATGGAGGCGCCCATAGCCAATAAGGAGGGAATATGCTAATTGACTGCCACGCCCTCAAAGATGGCGGTGCCCACAGCCACAAGATGGCTGGTGGGGAGGGCAGTTGTGGGAGATCAGGCCAGCAAGGAGAGGGCAGTTGCAGGGGGAACAGGATGGCTGGTGGGGAGGGCAGTTGTGGGAGATCAGGCCAGCAAGGAGAGGGCAGTTGGGGGTGACCAGGCCTGCAGGGGAGGGCAGTTGGGGGCGATCGGGCCGGCAAGGGAGCAGTTAGGTGTCTATCAGGCTGACAGGGGAGTGGTTAGGGGATGATCAGGCTGGCAGGCAGAAGTGGTTAGGGGCAATCAGGAAGGCAGGTAGCAACCGGTTGGGAGCCAGCAGTCCCGGATCGTGAGAGGGATGTGCAATTGCCGGTTTAGGCCCAATCCCACTGGCAGTTGGACATCCCCCGAGGGTTCCCAGATTGAAGAGGGTGCAGGCTGGGCTGAGGGACACTCTCCCAACCAGAGCACAAATATATTAGTATACATAAAAGCCTAAGTGATCGGTAAGACCAAATGACCAGAATGACCAGAATGATAGGTCGACCAGTCGATTTGATGCGCACTGACCACCAAGGGGCAGACACTAAACTGGCAAAATATTATAGAAACAGGCAATATCCCATTAACACAAATATTTATGGGTCACTAAAATCTTTTAAGACAATAATTAGTCAATACTTTTTAACCTAACAGTTTTCAAAGATTTAGAAACTGGAGAAAATGTCACTCTGTATCATCCAACTTAGGTTACCTTTACATACTACATTTTAATTGAGTTTGCATAGACGAGTCAAGTCCCAGATTAAAACATCTTTCATAACCTGGTTTCAGCCACCCAGGAGTTTAGAAGAGCACAAATAAAATACTGGTGTGAAAGTACTTTACACTATAGAAAATTACATTAAGTTTTAGGTATACTCACCCCACATTCATAACACTTAGATTTATCAAAGTAGTTTCGTCTTCGGATGAACTCAGCTGCTCTTCCATTGTCAATAGCAATGCTTGCTTTTATCACTCTACCAAATAACTAAACAGGAGAAAATGTAAATGCAGAATATGTATTCACTGATCCCATTTCCTCAAACCTTCAATTCTATTTTATTTTTTAGATTATTTTAACAATTGCCTACTTAGGTGTGACAAATTCTGTTCTGTAGAATAGACTCTTACTTCCTTATTCTACCAATGTTTTGGAAAACCAGTACAGTTTTGGCATCTTTTCCACATGTTAAATAACCTCGGAACCTACTGATACCTGTCAGACTTGATGACCCACTACATCCCCATATTTTTGGCCTGGATGAGCACGAAGTCTTTTGGGTTAAAAACCTTATTGGGAATGAAAAGCTTACCTGTTTGTTGTTTATTGCCCTGGTGCAGTTTTGTGCAGAGTCTTTATCCAAAAATAAAATAAATGCAACACCTTTACTCTTCCTGGTATCTTTATCTTTCATTATAGTAACCCTTAAAAGCATAAACAAATACTTAAAAATAATGAAGCAGCAATAAATAAAACAGCTATTAATAACTTGGAAGACACCTGTATTCAAAAAGGGTAATAAAACATTTACATAGTAAGAGAAATGAGTACATTTGACAAATAGCTTATCTCTTCAAAGTTATGGGATATCAAGAATGGAAATAAGAAAGTATGATACTGATTTAACACTAGTGAACACAGGTATGATTAGGAGTATCTGATAAATCAAACTGTAATCAGGGGCTTAAGGATGAAGCAGAGATTACAGAGACAATGGGATCTTGAAGACTCAGCATAATTCCTCTTCTCTACTAAGTCTTTGTAGAAAAAAACAAAACAAAGTATTCTCTTAACACAAAAAGTAAAACTACTTATTTTTTTCTAGGTTTTAGACTCTAACTACATTCTTAAACTTCTTTTAAAGACTCTCCAGCTCTGTGGTTCTTAGCCATACCACCCAAAATACCTAAGTGATAAGAGCAGAGTCGGCTCTTTCTCCTGATCCCTTACACATCCTTAGTTCTTTTTATCCATCATTATATGACATTAAATATAGTTTAAAAGACGATGTTCAACAGGGCTCTTAGGAGAAATGGCTGATTCCAAGGCTGGGATAGGGTATAAGGTGAACTATTTTCTTTAACTAGAAATACTTTCTCCATCTTTCTGCTAGCCTCTACTGAAATCTAGTTATGTAAAAACTATGCCTCATCTCAACTAATAATAAAAGGGTACTATGCTAATTAGAACGGACGTCTTCCAGATGTCCTTCCTGATGAAGCCAGGGCAGGGGGAAGCCAGGCCGGGTCCCGGGTGTCTGCGGACGGCCCGAGGGAAGCCAGCCTGGGTCCCAGTGCTGGCCGGTGGCCGGAGGAGGGAAGCAGCCCGGGTACTCGGTGCCTGCGGATGGCCTGAGGGAAGCCACCTGGGTCCTGGGTGCCTGGGGGCAGCTGGAAGAGGGAAGCAGCCTGGGTCCCAGGTGCTTGCCCGGTGGCCGGAGGAGGGAAGCCTGGGTCCCTGGTGCCGGAAGGAAGCTGGTGCTGGCAGCCGGAGAAAGGAAGGCCTACTATTTCACGAATTTTCGTGCATCGGGCCTCTAGTGTATTATAATAAACACTCCTTTAAGGTTGTTTCTATTAAGCCTAGCTCAATATGTTAAAAGAAAAAGATAGATGCAAATGGGAAACTAGTTTCTCAAAAGAGTACATCTATTTGTTTATTCATGTTGTCATTCAGTCACTCAATTAGCTGCAAGTCCAGGCACTAAACATTGATAATATAAAGGGAGTAAAGCAATGTGTCACTCCCTCATTTAAAATTCTTTAATGGATTCCTGTTGTTCTTAGGATGAAAACCAAATATCTTGTAACTTGGCCAAAAAGCAAGATTAGGAACCTGCTTCCATCTCTTGGCATTTCTCCCTCTTGTTCACTCATCTCTGGTCATATTGGCTTTCTCTCTGTTTCATGATGTCACTTTATTTTCTCTTGCCACAGGGTCTTTGCACAAGCAGTTTCCTCTACTGAAAATGTTTCTTCCATTTGCTTTGCCTACTTAACTCTTACTCAGTCTTCAGTTTTCAACTCAAAGGATCCTGACTTAGGCAACTCTACCCTCACTATCTAGACTAGATCAGGTCTTCCCTGTTATAGGTCCTTACAACTCTGTGTCTTTAACTTCATAGCATTCTCATAGCTATATATTTGTATGGAAATTCATTTGGCGATTCTGACAGACAGGGACAAAACAAGAAAAGGTAATGGTAGGGTTAAGGGAGTAGGCTCTGGAATCAAACTGTTGGATTTAAATAGTCTTCACTACAAACTAGCAATATAATTTTAGGTTTACAGTTTTATCATTTATAATAATAACAGGATAATAACAGTATTTACCTTAAAAGGCAGTTGTCAGAATTTAATTGAGTCTTTCAAGAAAATTGTACATGTTTACATACATAGAAAAATGACATATATATGTAAAAATGTTAACAATAGTATTTTCACTTACTTTGTCATATCAAATATTTGTTTTATAAAATATAGTAAATTGACTACCATTAAAAATAATGGAGAAGTAAATTAAGATAAACTTTTAAATGAAGTTTCAAAATTTTATGCGAATACTTACTTTACAACTTTGCCATACTTGGAAAATATCTGAAACAAAATAACACATGCCAATTTACAATTTAATTTAAAAATCACACAAAAACATTAAATTTTCAGGTTGCATACACTTGCCATATTCTTCGTTATAGTTTATGAAAAATTTTAGCCTTTAGTCTGTAAGATAAATTTTTTTAGTGACTAGAATAATATTTTTAATTTTGTTATTGGAGTCCAGGTATCTGTCTCAGTTTCTAAATTTCTGACAAATGAGCACAGAGGAAAAAACCCACTCTTCAGGTGTGGTAGATTGAAGGCACACACATTATACAGTTGCTGTGTTACTGTGATATACCCATGGCAACTATCAACTCCACCACAGCTCCAAAGAATCCTTGTATTTCAAATAACAATGTTGTACAATATCATGATTCCCAGCCTGCTCCCACCCAATCAAGCAATCTGTTTCAGAAGACAGATCCTTAGATTGCTTATAAAACAAAACATAAAACAAGAAAGCTCCAGTAATGAAAAATCCATTCCCCAAATCTCTTTCTGCCCCCCCTTAAAGTGTGGGTGAAACTTTATAGCTGGCCCTTTCTTTTCTTCTACTTCTACATCTTCACCCTAAGCAATCTCACAATTTCACTTATTGTTTCAGCCAATACTTATATACTGACTAGAGACCTGGTGCAGGAAGTTCATGCATGGGTAGGGTCCTTAGGCCTGGCTGGCCATCAGGGCCAATTGGGGCCTTCCGGCTGCTGGCCAGGGCCTTTCTTCATTCCACGCTGCCCCATGGAGGTCAGCACACATCATAGTGAGTGATCGAACTACCTGTCGAACTCCCGAGGGGGCACTTTGCATATTAGCCTTTTATATATATACTAGAGGCCCGGTGCACAAAAATTTGTGCACTCGGGGGGGAGTGGGGGGGTCCCTAAGCCCGGCCTGTGCCCTCTCGCAGTCTGGGACCCCTCGGGAGATAACGACCTGCTGGCTTAGGCCTGCTCCCGGGTGGCAGAGGGCAGGCCCAATCCCTAGGTGCAGCCCCTGGTTGGGCTCAGAGCAGGGCTAATTGGGGAGTTGGGGCGCCACCCCCTGTCATGCACAGAGCAGGGCGGGATCGGGAGGTTGCAATGCCACCCCTAGTCACGCTCAGGGTAGAACCGATTGGGGGGTTGGGGCACCCCCCTGTCACACTCATGGCAGGGTCGATGGGGAGGTTGCGGCGCCACCCCGTCAAGCACAGAGCAGGGCCGATCAGGGGGTTGGGGCACTGCCCCCTGTCACTCACAGAGCAGGGCCCATCAGGGGGGTTGGGGCTCCATACCCTGTCACGCACAGAGCAGGGTTGATCAGGGGGTTGGGGAGCTCCCCCCTGTCACGCTCAGGGTAGAACTGATAGGGGAGTTGGGGCACCGCCCCCTGTCACACACAGAGCAGGGCGGATCAGGGGGTTGGGGCACCGCCCTCTATCACCCACAGAGAAGGGCCGATCAGGGGGTTGGGGCGCCGCAACTGTCACACTCAGGGCAGGGCCGATGGGGAGGTTATGGCTCTACCCCGTCACACACAGAGCAGGGCCCGTGGGGGGGGGGGTTGGGGCGCCACACCCTGTCACACACAGAGCCACAGGGCGATCAGGGGGTTGGGGAGCTCCCCCCTATCAGGCACACAGCAGGACTGATCAGGGGGTTGGGGCGCCTTCCCCTGTCACAAACAGAGCAGGGCAGATAGGGAGGTTGTGGCCCCGCCCCCTGTCACACACAGAGCCGCAGGGCGATCAGGGGGTTTGGTCGCTGCCCCCTGTCACGCTGATCCTGGTGCCGGGAGGCCTCACTGCTCCGCTGAACCCGGTGCTGGGAGGCCTTGCTGCTCCGCTGATCCTGGTGCTGGGAGGCCTCGCTGCTCTGCTGATTCCGGTGCTGGGAGGCATATTACCCTTTTACTATATAGGATAGAGGCCTGGTCCATGGGTGGGGGCTGGCTGGTTTGCCCTGAAGGGTGTCCTGGATCAGGGTGGGGGTCCTCACTGGGGTGCCTGGCCAGCCTGGATGAGGGGATGATGGCTGTTTACAGCTGGTCACACCCCCTTCAGGGTGGGGGTCCCCACTGGGGTGCCTGGCCAGTCTGGGTGAGGGGCTGAGGACTGTTTTCAGGCTGGCGGGTGACTGAAGCTCCCAATCGCTCCTTTTTTTCTTTTTTTATTCTGGGCCAGCTTTAGCTCTGAGGCTTGGCTCCAGCTCTGAAGCCTCGGCTGCTGAAAGCAGGTATCTGGTTTGTTTGGGTTCTATAATCGAAACACTGTTTCCACTCCAGCTCTGAGATCCCGGCTGGCTGAAAGCAGGTTTCTGGGGTTTTGTTTAGCTTCTATATTTGTAACAATGTTTCAAACTGCAAGCTCAGAGGCCGGCAGCGGCAGGCGGGGAACGTTGGCTTCCTCCGTCACTGAAGCAAGCAAGCCTCCTGTTAGCTTCAAGCTGCCTGGCTGCCGGCGCCATCTTGGTTGGCAGTTAATTTGCATATCGCCCTGATTAGCCAATGGGAAGGGTAGAGGAGGTAGGGCTAATTACCATGTTTCTCTATTATTAGATAGGATAGATAGTTCCTATTATACATTGCTTCTTAGAAAAGTGTTTTTGAATATATTAATATATGCAATCAATGATGATAAATTTTGAGTCCTCTGAGTAATTTGTGTAATGCTGGAATGTGATATAACTGGATTACTGTGTAGCCACACTGAATTCTGAAGGCCAATACAGACAGCTTTCCATATAACACTTTCAAAAGGCTTCTCAATTCACTCAGAGTCCTTACCATTATCTGTGTAGGCCTTAGAAGGCATCCCTGCATGGGCTTACCTCTGACAGCTCCTCTTCTTCTCTTCACTTGATTTACTCTGTGCCTGAAATGCTTATCCCCTAGACCAGGGGTCCTCAATCTTTTTAAACAGGGGGCCAGTTCACTGTCCCTCAGACCGTTGGAGGGCCGGAATATAGTTTAAAAAAAAACTATGAACAAATTCCTATGCACACTGCACATATCTTATTTTGAAGTAAAAAAACAAAACGGGAACAAATACAATATTTGTATTTGCATGTGGCCCGTGGGCCGTAGTTTGAGGACCCCTCCCCTAGAGAGCTGCCTTTACTTCCTTCAGGTCTTTATTGAAAAGTCACCTTCTCAATAAGGCTTTAGACCACAATGTAAAATTTCACCTCCATTCCCAACCTAACGTTTAATAACCCTCCTTTCCTGTTTTACTTTTCTCCTTAGCACCTAACATCTTCGCATTAACTTTGTATTTAACAAATAACATCATTCGACTTTTTTATATTTCACATTGTCTATCCTTTTATTGTGAATGCCAAGAGGGATTTTTCATCTTTTTGTTTGTTGATGTGTTCCTAGTATCTCTAAGAGTGCTCAGCATACAGTAAGTGTTCAATAAATACAGAAATGTCTCTTTTGTAATAAGCAAAGAAGCTAATGTTCGTTTTCTCCTCTGTTCTTTGGGATTAAAACTAAATTAATTAATCAAGCAATATAGACTATCTGTGCAGCATCTCTCTACTTAACATCTACCTCAAGTAGCACAGAGAAAGAGGGTACACTAGGAAGAAAGGATTCATGTCATTCCTTCCAGTTTTTCTCAACCACTCATCTGCAGGACAGGCATTGCAATGTACTTATTAAGAATTTTACCAAGCCTAACCGGTTTGGCTCAGTGGATAGAGCGTCAGCCGGCGGACTGAAGGGTCCCAGGTTCAATTCCCGACAAGGGCAAGTACCTTCGTTGTGGGCACATCCCCAGTAGGGGGTGTGCAGGAGGCAGCTGATCAATGTTTCTCTCTCATTGATGTTTTTGACTCTCTATCCCTCTCCCTTTCTCTCTGTAAAAAATCAATAAAATATATTAAAAAAAAGAATTTTACCAAGGAGAACTGTTTGCTTTAGCTACAATTATTTCTCAAATAGATAATTCAGAAGATAATAGCACTATTAATAAAACTTACTTACCCGGTATAAGTCATTGTTGGTCAGGGAAAAGGGCAAGTTGGATACATACACTGTACTTTTACTTGGGGCCAATCCACCACTCATTTCTAAAAAGAAAAACAAACAGATCCAAAAGCAATCTAAGCCAGGATAGTCTTCGTTCCATGTAAAACCCAATACAGGCAATCACTGATTTAATTATGCCAGAGTCATACACCTTCCTTACTGCTTAGTAATAGTGAATAATGACCCCCAGTTGGGTGAATTAAGGAATTCCTTTTCTCCAGACACCACTTAAGAGGGTTTTCTGGTCCTATTTCAAGTGGATTCTTCACACTAATTAACCCTTTCAGTGCCGGCCTGCAGTGTGAATGGGGAAGTGCGGTTAAACAGATGAGAGAAAAACCCGGACCTTACTAATCTTCCCTAAGGCTGAGAGCAAACAGTGCTTTCAAATATGTGTAAGACTTCGCATACACACAGCAGAAAGAACCTGGGGCCGCAGAAAGAACCTCAGCCACTGATTTCCACTCACACTGTGGCTGGGTACCTTCCTGGTTGTCTTACTATTTTTCTCTGGAATGGCATGAAGAGGACATTTTAGCCCCACATTTGGATGCACATAAAGTTCAGCAAACTTCCTCAAAGTCCCATCCGGCTCCACCACGGTCGAATTTTCGGTCTCAGAAGCGCGTGCGCTATATCTTTAAGACGGGGGTTCCGAACGCTCACAAACGGCAAAACACGGATTCGAAGGCGAGCCGGTTCGAAGGGCCGGGCCAGACGCTCGGGGGGATGGACGCGGACAACGTCAGAAACTCACAGCGGTAGCGCTCGTTTGACAAGGTTCCCGCTGGAAACGCGTCGGCCGTCCTTGGTGGGGACCGCGCAGGCGGCTAAACGGGGAAGGTTCCGGGGCATTCCAAAGGCCCCTCCCTGTCGGCGGCTGGGCCTTGGGGAGGGAGGGTGCCGGCTGGCGGCCAGGCCGCAGCCGAGGAGGCGTTTACCTTCCAGTGGGGCGGGCCCGGGCGGTCGGCAGAGCGCGAGCCCTCGGCTCCGGGGGCGCTCAACCCCGACGACTCCTTGCCCCTCGCAGTGGCCTCCGCATCGCCGGGGCTGGGAAGGGCCTGGCGCCGCGGACGAGAAGGCAGCGCCTACAAAGCCTCTTCCCTCCCTGCTCGCTTTAGACCCCGGCGCGGGCCCGTTGCTGACGTCATGCGCGCGCCGGAAGTGCCTTCCTCAGAGCGGCGACGAGCGGACTACCACATTTACCGAGACTCCCGGCGGCCCAGAGTTGGTGAGCGTGTTTTCCCTTTGTGCGAGGGGGCCGGGGCCGGGGGGCCTCGCGGGAGTGGCGGCGGGTGGGCGGGCTGGCGGGCGGGCGGGCGTTTTCCGCGACGGGACTTGGGGTCTCCCGCTGCATTGGAATCGGGGAGCAGCTGTGCCTCTGCGGTGGAGGGTGGACAGACACAGTGGAGTTGGGAAAGAAAAGCAAAGTGTTAAGTCTGAGCTACATACAGTTCGCGTCTCTTGAGCGCCTTAGTCTGCAAGAAGGGGACTGAACGAGGTCACTTCAATAACCCCAGAAATGTTAGGAAGTCGGTAAATTTTACTGAATGTGTTGGACGCATCCACTTCGGTATTAGGCATTTTTGAGAGCTACAAAAAAAAAAGTGCAAAAACAGGCATTTTTTTTATTCCCCCACCCCCCGCTGGCGGATATCTTAATCCAGTTGGGGAGACTTGGATTCGGGAATGACTCACCTTGAGTACTGGTATGGACAGATGTTGAACTTCTCCGCACCTTTTTTTCCTTCCTGTGTCAATCAATCTATAATGGGCACACCACTGCTTTTTTTTTTTTTTTTTCCTAAGAGGATGTATACAGGCCCAGCATTCCTACAGAAAACAATACAAGGTAGTTTATACTAAACTTCTACCCACCAGCACACACAGACCAGGCCTCTCACCACTCCATGGGAGCCTGCGTGGCAGCAGCCTGGAGCCCAGAGCCTTTCCCGGAGCCGGCACGATCCGGACGGAAGCCGATGCCGCACAGAGCGCCCGAGGTGCGACCCAGCCAGAACACAGCTGCCTTTTGAGAGGCCCGCATGCCTCCGCGTCCCCCCGGGGACCGCCGGGACTCATTCTCTTGGCAGACTTGTGGCCAGCCAAAACTGCCATGCTCCACATCCCCGTTATCCTTGGTTACCGCCCGAGATGTAAGCCCCTTCGGTCTTCTCCGCTCCTCCGCCCCCGTCCCCGTGCTGCTTGGTGCTTCCCCTCCCGTGGTTTAGACTGTCCCTGCTGCTCTCTCCTTTTTATTTCTGCATTTCACCTCTCAGCACAGCTGTGCTCTCTGAAACCTCTATTCCCTGCTTAACCAACTCTTTTTTACATAGTCAGTCACTTTATGGAAATTCTACTTCATCTCTTGACTTTAACTCACACTTGGCCTTTCCCCTCCAGCCCTTTCAATTGAGCTTTACTCTGACAGTTGCTTTTGAGGCTGGGTGTTGGCTGTAGCCATGTTGAACTGATGTAACTATCTCAAATACTTTATCTCTCTCTCTCTCTCTCTCTCTCTCTCTCTCTCTCTCGGGCATTTTGTTTTCCCCGATCTCTTTCTGGATAATTTCGGTGACTGCTAAAGATCACTTTCTCTGAGGGGTGTTCCCTGACTTCCCATGGACAGAGTTGGATACCCTAGCCATGCCTTAAGCGCCCTTTACCTCCCTTATCATAGCCCTTATCTCATGTATCCTAATTGCTTGTCTCTCTGCCTTTTCAACTAAGGTAGGTTGTGGGGGAGAGGCTGTATTTTTGTAACTCTAGTGCTTGATAGACAGGTATTTCTGGAATGATTGCAATGCTCCAGGTACAGTACCATGAATGAGGCAGTGGACTGTTATTTCCAGACTTTACATCTAAGAGCCGTTCAGAGAGGGTCATCTGCTACTCAGGTACAGCTCATTGTGACTGTGTGATCCCAGTGTTGCCATAGCATCCAGTTTTTTCAAGGAAAGTTGGAAATGCAGTTGTTGTTTTTTAAAGTGATATCTTCCATTTTTAAGTTTTGTCAATGGGATAAAATTTTATTAAAAAAATACACACCACAACACAAAACTTGGGCCTATCAGTCACATGTGGCCTATCAGTCAACAGTTTGGATTCTGTTTTAAGTGTTGTTGGGTGTAGAAGTGGGCATTGTGGAGACTAATAGATTTTGAACTGAGCCTTTGGTGGATGGTTGGAAGTTGAATGAGAGAATGGAAAGAGGTATTCCGGTTTGGGAACTATGTCAAACAACTCCAGGTTAGTGTGTGTTTTTCTGTGGCAGAGCGATGAGGCTGGCATTAATCCTTTTGGAGAGAACAGGAGGTTAAGTGAAATGATAGAGGGAGCGAGCATATGGAGGGCAGAGAATAAGAAACTATTTGGATTCTTGATTAGGGAAACCAGATATGAATGAGGTATTAGCAAAGTGAATTGATTGTCTTTTTTTAAGGGTGAAATGGAGAGTAAAAGACTGGAAAGAGGCTGGCCAATTAGGACTTTAACTTCCATGTAGATAATAAGATTTAGATTTGTAAATATTATGTATAAGCAAACATCTGGTATTTTGTCTAACTTATGTAATTTTAGTTATTTGATAACTACAATGGACAATCAAGAATCTCCTAAGTTTTTAATACAGTATGGTGGGTCTTATAAAAAAAGTATCCTTAAAGCAGTGGTTCTCACCCTTCTGGCCCTTTAAATACAGTTCTTCATGTTGTGACTCAACCATAAAATTATTTTCGTTGCTACTTCATAACTGTAATTTTGCTACTGTTATGAATCGTAATGTAAATATCTGATATGCAGGATGGTCTTAGGCGACCCCTGTGAAAGGGTCGTTCGACCGCCAAAGGGGTCATGACCCACAGGTTGAGAACCCCTGCCTTAAAGCATTGAAAAGTCAAATACAGTGGGGCCTTGACTTACCAGTTTAATTAGTTCCGTGACGGAGCTCGTAACTCAAATTACTCGTATGTCAAATCAAAAGTGAACGAGTGAGACACGTAATGCTGGGCTGATGTTGTGGCGTTCACTGTGAAGTTCGCTGCGCCAACTAGCGGTGGGGTATCTGAAGCTGGCTTGTAACCCGAATTTTAGCTCTCAACTCAAAGCAAAAAATCCGCCGAATGATGGCTCTTATCTCAAAAAACTCGTTAGTCGGGACACTCGTAAGTCAAGGCCCCACTGTAACTTGTGAAACTAGTAGAGAATGCAGTCCTTTCACAGTTCTAAGTCACATGGTTCATTATGAAGCAGTCAGTGGTCTCCTTTTCTCTAACACCGTGTCTCCCTCCCTCTCTCCCTCCCTCCTTCCCTCACTTCCCTCCCCCCCCCCCCCAGGGGTTCATTCTAGGGTTTCTATTGGCAACAGGCTGTTTAGAAAGCTGGGTATTTATTTGGATTTGCAGTCATTGGCAAAGCTCAGTCCTCTTGGAGGCAGCTGGAGGAGTGGCCTCCTGGAGCCTTCTAACCTCTCTCTCTTAATCCATCTTGTTTACTGGCAGGATAATCTTCTGAAATGCCATTTTGCCCCCAACTTCATTTCCAGGCTTATAAGCCTTCAGTGAACTCCTCTAATTTTTTAGTATGTTGTGCCATTTAATGCCCTTGAATTTGTTCTCTCTGTCCTTCCCTGTTTTGTTGTGAAGCAGTGTAATATGATGGATAGGGTGTGGGCTTCAAAGTCATACAGGCCTGAGTCTGATTCCAGGCTCCATTTGGCTCTGGAATTTGAGCTTTTCAGAGCCTCCATGTTTTATCTGGAATGGGAGGAATAATACCTACTTCAGGGGAGGAAATGAAAACTTGTTGAATGCCAATCAGGGCTATTTCCTACTCCTTTGCAATGTGCATCTTCTCTTTTTGTCAGTTGCAGCTTTCTTATGTACATGTTGTTTTCCCTAATTCCTTTCCCTTTTCTTAGCTTATGTTATTTTCTGCATTTATCTTTCTCTGAACACTGAACAATGATTAATTCTAGTAGATACTTTGCTATATTTTGATCATTTTAATTGGCATCAATGTTAGTTTTTTTCCCGAACTTTAAATAAGTATGCTCTAAAATTAATTTTTAATTTAGTTGTCTGGAATTTTAAACATTTTTAGTTGAAATATTATTAGGTAGTTTTTAGTTCAAGACAGCTCTTAAAAACTTCTTGATTCAATTTAGTATGTGAGGAATATGTTTACCTTCTTTTAGATCAGTACATCTACTGAGATAAGATTTTTAAAAAGTGTCAGGGTCCCAGCCAGGCCAATTATATAGGGATTTCAGAGAATAGGGCCTAGACCAGTGATGGCGAGCCTTTTGAGCTCGGCGTGTCAGCATTTTGAAAAACCCTAACTTAACTCTGGTTCTGTGTCACATATAGAAATTTTTTGATATTTGCAACCATAGTAAAACAACGATTTATATTTTTGATAGTTATTTTATATATTTAAATGCCATTTAACAAAGAAAAATCAACCAAAAAAATGAGTTTGCGTGTCACCTCTAACAGGCTCGCCATCACTGGCCTAGACACTGGTATTTCTTTAAGGCTCGTTAGATAGTAATAATATGTACCCAAGGTTCAGAATCCCTGTTTTTGGTGCTAGACCTAAAGGATTCTTATCAGTACCTTTTGCTTAAAAATGAAATGGCACAGGTGTCATGAAAAGTGTGAAAGGAACCATAATCTAAGAGTGCTCATTGGAAGTTTTCTGGATAATTAAAAGATACAAAGTAATATTAATGTTTTCCAGAAGGGCTCATGTGGTGGTCATCAATATTATGTTTATTTATTTGGCCACTATTTAATAAGTACTTCTGCTAAGTAAGAGAGGTGCACAGTCATTTACTTTGCAGTGATATTTAGTTTGGGAGAGAGAAGAGGAAGAAAAGTAAATTGAAGATAATTTGATATAATAGTATTATAGATAGGTGCTTTAAGAGGCCCAAAGAAGGAACAACTTTATTCTTTATAAAGAGTATAAGAAACACAATAAAATGAATGGGACACAGCAAAAGCAGTCCTAAGAGGGAAATTTATATCATTATAGGCCTACCTCAAGAAACAAAAAAAAACAACCAAACTCAAATAAACAATCCATCTTTACACTTAAAGGAACTAGAAAGAGAACAACAAACAAAGCCCAAAGTGAGTAGGAGAAAGAATATAAAGATCAGAGCAGAAATAAACAAAATAGAGTCTAAAAAAACAATACAAAAGATTAATGAAACCAAAAGCTGGTTCTTTGAAAAGACAAGACTGACAAGCCTTAACCAGACCTCATCAAGAAAAAAGGAGAGAGGACCCAATTAAATAAAATCAGAAATGAAAGAGAAGTAACAGCTGACACCAAAGAAATACAAATGATTATAAGAAAATATGAAATATGGACAATATGGATGAAATGGATAAATTCCTAGAAACATACAATCTTCCAAAACTCAATCAGGAAGAATCAGAAAATATGAATAGAAAGATTATAACTAATGAAATGGAAACAGTAATCAGAATATTCCCAACAAGCAAAAGTTCTGGCTTCCCAGGTGAATTTTACTAAATATTCAAGAAGAACTAACATCTGTCCTTCTTAAGCTATTAGAAAAAAATTCAAGAGGAGAGAAGACTCCTCATTTTATGAGACCAGCATTATCCTAATTCCAAACCAGATAAAGACACTACAAAGAAAGAAAATTATAGGCCAATATCCCTGATGAACATAGATGCTAAAATCTCAACAAAATATTAGCAAACTGGATCCAGCAATATATTTAAAAGATCATATATCATGATCAAGTGGGTTTTATTCTGGTGTTGCAAGGTTGGTACAATATCCGCAAATCAGTTAACAGGATACACCACATAAAATCAAGGAGAAAAACCACATGATCATATCAATAATCCAGAAAAATATTTGATAAAATCTGGCACTCTTTTATGATAAAATCTCTCAGCAAAGTGGGAATAAAGGTTACATACCTCAATGTAATAAAGGCCATATATGACAAGCCTGCAGCCAACATAATTCTCAATGGGCAAAAACTACACAAGTGTTTCCCTTAAGATCAGTAACAAGACAGATGTCTATTTCACCACTTTTTTTTTTTTTAACAGAATGAGACTTTTGTTGTTATTACTCAAAAAAGCTTCATTTTTAAATTTATCTTTCTGACTCTGTGCTTGTGCCTTTAACACTTACACAACGATTTTCTGCTCCTCAATAAGGAAAGCATGCTTGATCCTGTCCCGGACACATTTAGCACACATGGATCCACCGTAGGCCCTGCTGATGTGTTTTTTTGTCTTAGACAACCTCATTAGAACTTTAGGTCTCACAGCACGAACTCTGCGAAGTCGGCCTGGGCACATGCCACGCGCAGATTTGGGTGCTTTCCCAACTTTCTTGGTATAAAGGTAAACAATCCTATTACCAGGGGTTCGGGACAGCCTGGTTTTGTTGGAAGCTGTGTTGTAGGACAGCCTCCGACGGTATGTCAAACGCTGGACCATGGTGAATACCTAAACATAAGTCACTGTCCCCGGAAGAGGAAAAGGAAAGCGCTTGCCTATTTCACCACTCTTATTCAACGTAGTATTGAAAGTCCTAGCTACAGCAGTCAGACAAGAAGAGATAAAAGGCATCCAAATTGGAAAGGAAGAAGTAAAACTTCATTATTTGCAGATGACATGATATTGTATATAGAGAACCCTAAAGATTCCACCAAAAACTACTAGAACTGATAAATGAATTCAATAAAGTAGCAGGATACAAATATATCCAGAAGTCAGATGCATTTTTATATACCAATAATGAACTGTTGAAAAGGAAACTATCTTCACTTAGAATTGCATAAAAAACAACCTAGAAACAAATTTAACCAAGGATGCAAAAGACCTGTACTCAGAAAATTATAAAACACTAGTGGCCCAGTGCACTGATTTGTGCACATTGAAAGGAAGTTAATTAGAAAAAAGATTTGTGCGGTAATTACGTTACTGCAAAACATTATATGTCAAAATAGTATATATAATACTAGAGGCCCAGTGCACGAAATTTGTGCATGGGTAGGGTCCCTAGGCTTGGCCGGCGATCAGGGCTGATCAGGGCCTTCTGGCTGCCAGTCAGGGCCTTCCTTCCTCAGCTGCCAGCTGGGGCCTTCCTTCGTTCTGCGCTGCCCCCTGGTGGTCAGCGCACATCATAGCGAGTGATTGAACTCCCGAGGGGACACTTTGCATATTAGCCTTTTATATATATAGATAGTATTATAAAATTAAAACACATGCGATTGGCGCCAGTGAGAGCTTTATATGTATCGTGCATGCGCTAGTCAATGTTTATTTTTAAATTGCCAGTGTACGTCATATGTACCAGATGGTCAGACGGACGTAAGGTTGGTCACTTAGCCTTTTATATATATAGATTGAAGAAAGAACCTGAAGACACAAATAAGTGGAAGCATCTGCTGTGTTCATGGATAGGGAGAATTAACATCTTTAAAATGTCCATACCAGCTCTTCCCAGCCTATGCCAAGCCATGGGCATCTCTTGGGACAACTGGCATAAGCCCTATAAGACCAGGGGCAAGAGAAAGCCCTACCAAGGAAGCGAAAATATGAGCTGAGACACCCTGCTGCCAACACAAAGATTGAACTCTACCACATACACATAATCTGCATGTGGGGAGGCAACAAGAAGTACTGAGCCTTAGACAGGGTGTGGGCAACTTCTGGGGCTCCAAGTGTTGTACATACAAAACAAGGATTATTGATGTTGTTTGCAGTGCATCCAGTAATGAACTGATCTGCACCAGGAGCTTAGTAAAGAATTGCATTGTGCTCATTGACAGGACAATGTACCCACTATGCACTGCCCCTGGGCCACAAAAAGGGGGCCAAGCTGACTCCGGAGGAGGAAGAGCTTTTAAACAAAAATCGACCAAAGAAAATTCAGAAGACTTGATCAAAGGAGAAAGAATGCCAAAATCAGCAGTCTTCTCAAGAAGCAGTTTCAACAGAGCAAACTTCTGGCATGCATTGCTTCAAGATCAGGCCAGTGTGGCCGCACAGATGATTTTGTGCTAGAGGGCAAGGAGCTAGAGTTTTCTGCGGGAAATCAAGGCCTGGGAAGGCAAATAAATCCTCTTCCCTCCTATCTTAGCTCATGTAATAAAGGTGTTCATTAAAAATAAAAATTCCATACTACCTAAAGCAATCTGTAGATTCAGTGCAATTCATATCAAGATACCGATGGCGTGTTTCACAAAACTAGAACAGATATTCCAAAACTTTATGTGGAACCACAAAAGACCCCAAATTGCCACAGCAATCTTGAAGATGAACAAAGTTGGAGGAATCATGCCACCTGATATCAAACTATACTACAAGGCCATAGTAATCAAAATAGCATGGTACCGGCATAACAACAGACGTATAAGTCAATGGAATGGAATAGAGAGCCCAGAAATAACCCCACACCTTTATGGATTTTTTTTTTTTTTTAGAATGGAATGGGTTGGGGGAGCTTTCTATTTTCTTTAAAAGAAAATTTCAAAATTGTTTGGAAGAAGAATTGCATTAATCATTCTTTTTTTTTTTTTTTTTTTTGGCCATTTACTTTTTTTTTTTCCTTTAAGTATCTCTGGAAAATACTTGTGTTGGAAAGTAGTCATTACTCCTTCATCTTCTCTATTATTGCCCAATAACAAAAAAAATTATAATTCTTTGGTTTCTCTTTTATCCTATAGTGGCTCACAGAAGAGATGAAATGTGGTCTGAGGGACGACATGACTACGAAAGGCTTCCAAGAGAACGAGCACCAACTCGAAATCACCCCAGTGTAAGTTCCTTCTACATGTAGAATAATTGAAAACCTAGAGTCTAAGTCATTTTGGTACACCACAGCTAGGCCTCTTAACAAAATCTTCAAGGGCCAAAAATTTACCAATCTAGGTTGAAATATAAATAGATTAAGCTTATCTTTTAAAAGTTAAAAGTGTGAAAGTAAAAGTCAGCATTTTATTTATTTAGAAAATCCCTATTTTATATTTCCTGCTTATATTTCTAGAATGAAGGTTTTATATTTGTGAAGAAAATTTTAGGTTTGGTAAAGGTCAGTCCATCACTTCACAAAGTATTTAAGCACCTGTTCCTGTTATTGGCCGACACCTATTTTTCTATATTCCTAAAAATGTTTGCAAATTGGATATGTGAAATTCTAAAGTAGGGGCACATCAGGAGCAGGCAGGCAGGCAACTTCTGGTATGCTGTCTTACTGCTTGTCTCTGTGGCTCTGGGAGTTGGAATTTTGAATCAGGTCTTTTCTCAAGGAGCTTGCTATTTTGCTTATTCCTATTTTCCCAGCAATATATCCAGTACATGGCATATAGTAAGGAGTTCAGTGTTTATTGAATAAATATATGCACTCAGCAAAATCCTATATGGAAACCCAAGGGAGGGTTTGAGGAAGGTCAAGAAGCCGTCAATCTTAAACTTTTGCACAGGCCCATTATAAGCACCAGGAGATTGGGCTTGTGGGCTTGATATTGTATGGATATATTTGTTTATATATTAGTTGTTTATTACTTATATGTTATAAGTAAATCCTATAACCCACTTAGATGGGTGGTGTTACCTTTAAAATTGTCATTTGGCCTAGGTTACAGCTTAGGTTGGGATTGATCTAAAATGATTTAAGATGGAAAAAATGAAGAGACTTACCATATATCTTTTAGAATGAGCAGACTTAATTATTACCATATGTGATTTCTTTTTAAGTTATTGTATAGACTTTATGTTTCTAATCAAAATCCCAATTTTTAAATTTTTTTCAACTTGATAAAAATATTTTATAGTTTACCTAGAACAACAAACAAGTGATATCGATAAACATGATGTAGGACAAATGCAGGGATGGGAAAAAGGATGATTTAAAATTTTTTTTTTATTTTTTAGAACTCCCGCCTGCACAAGGATATATCCCATTACGAATTTATTTTTCAAAGTTAATTAAAAGGATTTTTGGTGGGATTATGCCAGTTGGATATATAGTTGCATTTTACTTTGTTTCAATTTTTGGGGATTGCCCTTTTTCTTTTCTAATTCTTTTTTTTTTTTCTTTAATTTAACACAGATGGTTCCAAATTGCAAAATAAGGTACAGAGAGGGATAACTTATTTTATTATTTAAAAAATTATTTTATTGATATCAGAGAGGAAGGGAGAGGCAGAGATAGAAACATCAGTGATGAGAGAGAAACATTGATTGGCTGCCTCCTGTGCGTCCCCTACTGGGGATCAAGCTCACAACCCGGGCATGTGCCCTTGACCGGAATCAAACCCAGGACCTTTCAGTCTGCAGGCTGACGCTCTATCCACTGAGCCAAACTGGCCAGGGCGGGGATAACTTACTTTAAACAGTAATTTACTGTAATTTTATATTTAACTAGAGCCTGCTTACTACAAATGAAAGATTTTATGTATGAACTTCCTAATCTTCAAAACAATACTTAGTGTTGAATGGTACAACATTTATAGAACCCCGTAGAATGTTTTAGATACCGTAAAATGTAAGCAGGATTTATGTACAGGGATATAATTTCAGATAATGGGAATCACTCATGCTGAAATTATGAAAAAAGTTATGATATAAAACCTTAAGTATACCATTCTGCATTATGTATGCATGCTATATTATATCATAGAACATATTGCAGTAGAAGTTGGCTTAAAAAGCTATCAAGACTGGAAGCAGAGAGATACGCTAGGAGGCTATTGCTAGGCAGGGGAGCTGGGGAAAAGTATTAAGATGGGATTAATCAGTTATATCAGTGTCATGAAGACCAGTAAGAAGGGCCCTCCAGTTCTTCAGTTAGGTTAATGTGTGAGAATGGATTTGAGAAAGTTCATATCCAATAGACATTGTTGTTCTCTGAAGTAAGAGGTAGCAAGATCATCTATTCAAAGTTGAGGAGGTGGAGGAACACTTGAGTCCCAGCACTGAAGCTTTGGAGTAAACATTACAAATTATCTTCTGAGTAGGAGGATTAATAAGATTTGCTGAGGACTTTTGTGCACCATAAGTTTTATACCTAAGAAGCCCAGATTAGAAATGAGGAAAGCAAGTTGTATTGAAGATTGCAAGTTGAGTGGTTGACCCAGGGAGATAAGGATATCGAAGGTTCTGACCCAGAGAATTACGGAGGTAATATATTATGTGATATGGACTGTTTAAGAAGGGAGTCTATGTGATAGGGACTGTTTAACTGTTTGAGTCCCAAGCAGCGCGATTGCGCTGCTGAGATTTTATGTCGAGAAAACATACGATTCGTTTGAGTCCCAGGGGGTATTGAAAAAACACTGTCGAAGAATCCCAAACAGCGCAACTGCGCTTTCTCTAAATAAGTACGAAAAGACCCAAACAGCGTGATAGCGCTTGTTTTATTTTATGTCGAGAAATACCAAGCAGCGCGATTGCGCTGCTTGGGACTCAAACGGTTAAGAAAGGGAGTCAGGCAGTGAGAGGGAAGGTGGATTGAAAGAAGTGAGGGGTTGAGGAACAAGAAAAGCTTAGTGAGCTTGAAGACAGGGTGTGGCAGAAAGATAAGGCAATTGGTAATTTAGAGTGTTGAGTTTTCAAGACAAAATAGTTCTGGGTGATTAATGTTCAATGTATAGTGGTGAGGGACAGAAGGTGGGTGAAGGTAATTGGCGTTGAGATCAAGAAAACTTTGAGGCTAGATTTTTGGACCAGGGATTTAGATTAGAGGTGCTAAATCCTTGCTATACATTAAAATCACCTAGGGAGCTCTTAAATACCTATGTATGGGTCCCATTCCAGATAATCTACACTAATAAAAGACAAACATGCAAATTGACCGTACCTTCGCTACACCTTAAGCCACTCCTACCAGCCAATCAGAGTGACTATATGCAAATTAACCCAACCAAGATGGCAGCCGGCAACCATGCAGCTGAAGCAAGCAGGAGGCTTGGTTGCCCCAATGATGGAGGAAGCCAGGCTTCCCGCCTGCCGTAGCGGGCTCTGAGCTCCACTCAAAGCAACAAAGTTTCAATTATAGAAGGTAAATAAACCCCAGATACCTGCTTTCAGCCGGCTGTGGCCACTGAGCTGGAGTGAGCAGGAGGCTTGCTTGCGCCAGTGATGGAGGAAGCCAAGCTTCCCGCCTGCCAGCTGGCTCTGAGCTCCACTCAGGCAACAAAGTTAAAATTATAGAAGATAAATAAGTCCCAGAATAAAAAATAAAAAAAAAAGAGGCTGGGAGCTTTCGTCGCGGGGGGGCTTGGCCAGCCTGAAAACGGCCCTCAGTCCCTCACCCAGACTGGGCAGGCACCCCAGTGGGGACTCCCCACCCTAAAGGGGGTGTGGCCAGCCTGAAAACAGCCATCAGTTCCTCACCCAGGCTGGCCAAACCTCCATGGGGTGAGGGTCCCCACTGGGGGGGCTTGACCAGCCTGCAAACAGCCATCAGCCCCTCATCCAGGCTGGCCAGGCACCCCAGTGGGGACCTCCACCCTGAAGGGGGTGTGACCAGCCTGCAAACAGCCATCAGCCCCTCACCCAGGCTGGCCAGGCACCCCAGCGGGATCCCCACCCTGATCTGGGACACCCTTCAGGTCAAACCAGCCGGCCCCCACCCATGCACCAGGCCTCTATCCTATATAATAAAAGGGTAATATGCAAACTGACCCTAACAGCAGAAAGACTGGGAATGACTGGTCACTATGACACACACTGACCACTAGGGGGCAGACACTCAATGCAGGAGTTGCCCCCTGATGGTCAGTGCGCTCCCACAGGGGGAGCTCTGCTCAGCCACAAGCCAGGCTGACGGCTGCCAGTACAGCAGTGGTGGTGGGAGCCTCTCCTGCCTCCTCAGCAGCGCTAAGGATGTCCAACTGCAGCTTAGGCCTGGTCCCCGCTGGCAAGTGGACATCCCCCGAGGGCTCCCGGGCTGCCAGAGGGATGTCTGACTGCCAGCTTGGGACCGATCTACCAGGGAGTGGGCCTAAGTCAGCAGGTGATCATCCCCGAGAGGCCCCAGACTGCGAGAGGACACAGGCCAGGCTGAGGAACACCACCCCCACCCCCCAGTGCACAAATTTTTGTGCACTGGGCCTCTAGTTAAGTCATAATTATCTGCAGGTAGGATCTGGACATCAGTGTTTAAAAGTTCATCAGGTGGTTCTTATATGAAGAGTTAAGAAATGCAGATTGTAGATGAACACTGATGTCACTTATATGAGGAGTTGAAGTAAAGATCACAGGTTGATGGAAGTCCTCAATTAATGAGGATATGCAATTGGTAATTTAGAGTGTAGTAAAATCTGCACAAACCAAAAACATTTTCTTTTTATCCACTTTTGTATGTATATATGTGAAACAGAGCCTCTTTTCCTTTGTAAAATAATTTCAACAGCAGTAAGCAGAGAGATGTTTTATTTATTTATATTTTTACTTAAAAAAAAATCTTTATTGTTGAAAGTATTACATAGGTCCTCCCTTTCCCCCCATTAATCTCTTCCAGCCCACTCCCGTCCTTCCTTTGCCCAGGCCCTCACCAACCCATTGTCTGTGTACAGGGGCTATGCATATATGTTTATGAGTTCATATATGCATAACCACCCTCCCCTGCCTTCCCTCTGAGGTTCAACGGTCTGTTCAAGCTTCTATGACTCTGGGTCTATTTTTGATCATCAGTTTATTTGGTTCATTAGATTCCACATATGAGTGAGATCATGAGATAAGTTTTATACCACAATTGCCCTTGATGTCAGAGTAGCTATACTCAACTATCTCTAACTGCCCAATTGGAAATCT